AAGCTTCTGTTATTATGTTTAAGTAAGACATAAGAAATGGACCAATCACAGTACGTTAACGCAAAATCGAGTATTGATGTCGATAGATGAACTATGGACTCCGTCGATACCTCGAAATCGATTCTCACATCTAACCAATAGTAAACTAGAATGACTCACAGCCAATAGAAACTCTTATTTCGTCTACGCTTATGTTAGACATTGTGAATCCTTCAGTCTATTACTTATGTTAATGTTTACGTCTATGCGTTATGCTTATGTGTACGTTTGCATTGTGAATGAGCCTTTATAGTACGATTTATTGAGTCGCGCCCTTGACGAAAATCAGCTGTTGCGCTTTCATCCAATCAGAAGCTAAATGTCGCTACAGTGACGTTAATGGCGACGCTCAAGCTCCCGATTGGATGAATCCGTGAACTGCTGATTGAGTCAAGAGCACGGTTAAATAAATCTTGGTATTAGGCGGTTGCACACATTCGATATTCGCCGAGCAGTGAGCTACTGCTCGCCCAGTCCACAAACAGCTTCTGTGGTCAGCCAATGTTCGCTCCTTTTGATGTGTCCCAAAGACCGACACGCGGTGGGTAGGGCGAGCACCGAATGTTTTTCACTCGGAAAATGGCAAGCAACTCGTTCCCATTACTCGGGATTCGGCGATAGTTCAGGGCATCCACAGATGTCAGTGCAATGTCTCTGACTGAGGGATCCCAGGTTCGAGTCCCGACTGTGGAAGGATTTTCAACACTAGCTTGTCAGCTAGGTCGAATTCAGTCGCTGTCTGGAGGAGAATTCTTGAGACCGGCTGCTCTGGTCGGTAGTTTTCCGTGGTTTCTCCGATCATCACCAGGCGAATGCCGAAGCAGTACTCTAATAAATAGGCCACGGACCACGCGCGATCTTTCCTTCCTCTTGTTCATTTCCCGACCTACATATACACACTTGCGCTACAATATCACACTTGACGTGAGGCCAGTCTGGGAACTTTGAGCGTGTCCCGGATGGGGCTGTGCCCCACTGGCGGGAGATTACGCATTGGGAAAACTCCTCGCAAACCGACGTAGGTCCATCTCGTCAGCCAACACATAACTACCATAACGTCAGTCGACACCTAACTACCTACCTACAGCTACGGGAGTAATGACCTTAGCTGTTGGTGCGCCCGGAATCGCTAATCAATCGTAGAGGAATGTTTTGTAAACATTTTGTTGCTTCTATGCAGCATATCTCTTAACCCTTCTTGGTCTTTGGGCGTATGCGAAGTAATCCTCCGTTAACGTTTTTGCCTTTTTTGTTCAGGTCGCAGTGACACAGTGCATTTTATCCCTTCGGCCATGGGGGCTCGGCGCCGATAGTAATCAGAGTCCCCAGACGGACACCCGTTTAAGAACCCGCGGTGTCTCGAATTGCTTAACTCCCGTGACTTCACGGAGGTCGGTTAAGACGTTCGGCTAACGACGCAGACACCCCAAGACTGTAGGGGTTTCACACAATGTAACCCGTACAGTCGTTTCCTTCGTAAAAAAATGTTATATAATTATTGTTAAAAGGAACACAAGTTCAAAAACGCTTAAATGTTAGATAAATATTTTTAATAGAATTTTATTCAAATAGTGGTGTTTCGCCAATAACATTTTGTCGTTCGTAAGCAGGGCATGGTAAAATGTGTAAATAAATATTTTATTGATATTTAAAACCATGGCGCTATGAATATGAACAAGGAGCATGAAATTTGAAGACAAATATTCAAAACAAGCCCAGGAAGTAGAAATTCCTTGTAAGATTATTAAGTTAATGTGCACGTAGCAGATATCATGATATGTCTTTCTCTAGTGACAAAACACTTCCGCTTCATTACTTCATTACTTCATTAACATGTAGTTCCACGAAGAAGATTATACTCGTTGCATTTTTTAGGTTTTGTGACTTGCACATCTACGGCGATTGCTCGTATCACATGGCAATGACCATTAGTGTACCGTTATTTATTCTCAATACATCAAAAATACTCTCTAATCATGAGTTTGTCTCATAAAGGTCTCATGAAAGTTGTCGAACAACTCTGTTTCAACGAAACAACTCAAGCGATTTGAAGAATAGGCATTTGTAATATTTTAGTTATCAGTTTGTTGAATAATTACCAGATAAACGTTAAAAACAGAATTCTACAAACCATTATTGTTAATCGAGGAAAGAAATGTCACTCGCTTTATATAGCTCTTAATATATAATCAATTTAATTCTCTACCCTGGGTTTTGTAACATATGAAATATATATGCAGAAATCTTATACATCAATGAAGAAAAAGAGGAAAAAAGGAAATGCATTGGCTTTGTAATACTGATACACGCATTAAAAACAAAATTCGCTCTTAAATGAGCGTGTATTATTTCTGCTCTATTTGCTACCTTACCGGCCCACCCAATTTTAGCAGCTGTTTCATAATAACTTACGACGCCCCCAGGAAAATACCGTGAAGGGTCATTGAATAGCATTCCCGTCTTCTGAGCACCGAGTGGCAGACGTGTACTGACGTGCTGCTCAAGAGGATCCGTCAAAATTCCTAGAATTAAGGGGTAAAAAGTTCCCTAGTCAATTTGTGTCAAGATTGAATTAAGTACTGAAACTACAAGTTAAGCATCTTATATTTTATTTTAGTAAAACGACTGAATTGAAATGTTGCCTCCTTAACGGCAAAAAGAGAGTTTGGAAATACAGATTCATACCACTCATCAATAGCGGCTCAATAATTAACCCTCGTTTTCTCCAAACTAAGATTTTTGACTTGAGAACCTTGATCCCCGTGGCCACAGAATTATAGGCGACGATTTTAACTAGCGCGTGGGGAGCACTACGAGTGGCCACTGCCGCGCGTCTCCTCCGGAGCAGCATCTGCCTCCGCCTCGGCCCGCGTCGCCTTGGCCCGGTTCCCAGCTCCCGTCTGGGGGGCCTTGTTCCGCCGCCGCTCCACAATGGGCAGTTTGAGCGCCCCGCGCCGCCCCCTCGGGAGCGCATTGAAGCTGCTCCGTCGGCTGTAACTCGAGCACAAAAGCCGAGCGGCGGCGGCGGCGGCGGCGGAGCGGCCGGCCGCGACTGGATTCCGCGAACGACGCGAAGCAGAGCAGCTCCAGCGGCGACTGCGTCGTTTCGCGACCGCCCGTCTCGTCGGACGCGCCCCCCCCCACGTACGTGCGCATTCAGTCGCAACGCGGGCTCCCTTCGCCGGGGGGTGGGCTGAAGATAAAACTTCCGAAACGGCCAAAAAAGTGAAGCGAGTTAATGGAGGTCCACACATTGCTCCTCACATTCGGTATTCGCCGAACAGCAAGCCTCTGCTCGCTCGATTCCGAGAAGCTGATGTGTTCGGAGAATGTTCGCTTCCTTTGATGTGTCCTAGGTCCGACACGCGGTGGGTAGGGCGAATGCTGAATTTTCGACACTCGGCAAAGTATAAGCAACTCATACACACTACTTTACCTCTCTTCGAGTAGAGAGCAACCGCTCGCCGAATGACAAATTGTGTGGAGCCGCATTTCGTAGAAATTCCGAAACTGTCAAATAATAATAATAATAATAATAATAATAATAATAATAATAATAATAATAATAATAATAATAATAATTCTAAAATTTATCATAGAGAAAAAAATCTTTATAAGAATACAATAAGTAGGCAGAACATTACATATATAGTTCCACCCCATAGAAAAATTCAGGTTGCAGCCCTACTTTGAGCATTCACATTTCCCCATAATCTGTTGATTTTTAATTATACCAATTAATTCGAAGTTTACACTGTATTTTGCTGTTCAGTGCATTTACTATAATAGCGTCTGGTCTAGAAAACTGGTGAAAATAATATTTAGGTGAACAATTGTCCACGGACTCAGCATTAGCCTGTGGGCGTGACGTTAAGAAACCGTAAAGAACGTAACCAGCTTCCAAGGCCAAATGTGCGTATTAAGATTAAATGCTAAATATACCCAAGTGGCGATTCAGCCGTGAATCGGGACCATTCAGGCAATGCCGCTCACGGGTCGCTGATAGTGCGAGCGAGAAAAGCCAACGCTCTCAGAGGGCCTTGTGCCCCCCCCCTCCCTCCGCTCCGGTCCGGTCTACAGGAAGGAGCAAGGAAACGCGCAGAGCAAGCGAATAGCTAGACGCCTCGCGTCACGGCGCCCTCCAGCGATGTGAAAAACTTACAACCTCGCAGACGGCTGTTCAACCGGAAGTCTTGGTAACTCCAACTGCCTTCACTGCTAAAGTGTTATCTCGCATACCAATAAGAACATACCAGTAGATTATTTTTAGACAATTTTTAGAGAATGTGTGATAATGTGTGTCAGACAGGGCATACTTGTGTAATTCTAAGAAACGATGTTGGGAAGGAAAATCGAAAAGGAAAGATGTACCAAATCTGACTCGTGAGGAAAGCACTTTAAAATGGGATGGTGATCAGGCGCTCTTGAGTGGGAAATGAAAGGTAATGTATTTAAAACGAATTTAGCGGCATTTTAATGTCTGTAATTGCAGTAACACGAGGAACGAAAATGAAAATATTGTGCGACACATATTTTGACTGTGTGAGAACTCGTTTGATCTCCAGAGACGAGAAGTGACATATATTCATATTTTCTTTAGTCACGCGGGTAACACAAAATAAAATTTGAGGAATCTATCTAATGTATTAAATACATTAAAACTCTGAAAGATAATAATCAAAACGTTTTCAAAATAATGATTTTGCATCAACACGTTTTATATACCAAAATTTTATCCCTTAATGTCAAGTGCAATTTCTAATATTTCTAAGAAAGAGACTTTACGGAAAGGGAAGGAAAGCGTCATCACAAATTCTGTATATTTTGGCGGTAATAATACGCCTTTCAATTACTACCAATTTTTCTCGTAGTTGGCAATGCGAGCACTCGGCTATCACTAATGCTCGTTCCGGGAATTTCGTGGTTGAAAAGTGTCGTGCAGGCGGTTCCACCTCGCGCGCATGCATCGATCTACACTTGTTTGCGAGGGCCGATTGTTTCATTACCACGCGGCCCCAGGGCACCAGCGAGTGCGCCGTCAACAACAGCTGGAGCAAACAGGTCAGAGACAGTGACTGTCCGGCACTCCATTGCCCTGGAGGTGTTTTTGTGTGATTGCGACTTGATGAAATCTCCGCCTACCAATGCTTTGTTGTCGGATGATGGCACTTTTTTATCGTACGTCGTGTTCAACAACCGAAAACACACAATATGGAGCAGCAAATGTCGCCGACGCATTCAAATGCAAGTAATGACCTTAATTCGTCCGAGGAACTAATTACTTTATACTTCATCAGCGAGCATTTTTCCATAAACTGACTCCCCATCCCTTCACATTCTCTCCTATATTTGAACTCAATTTAAAAAAAGTCAATACTAACTATAAAATTAAAATATGGTTTTGATTACTAAAAAAATTAGCATAAAATAAATATAATTTAAATATTAAATAATATAATTGGCATTGTTATCTTTATTTATTTGAGAGGCAAGGGATGATTGATGTTTATAATTTGTTTCTATTTTCTTATTAATATTATAAAGCTGAAGAAACGTGGATAGCTTACATTTCTTTCTCATACTTCACAGCTTTTGAAGATAAATAAATAAAGTCAAGCACTAATAAACATTTATTGTATGTAACTCTATGTTTTTGATTCCTAACATCATAACAGCTCTTTCTGAATAGTGGTGATGTGATATAAATGGCACTTGTGCTTAAATATCCAAGGAAGGAAACGCGTAAGCCGATGCGCATCTAGGTACGCCCAACACTCCTGACGGAGACGCGTTGCGTCGATATAAACGCAACAAAAAAAAAGTAATCAGACTCCATGGTAAGCCTAGAATTTGCGCGCTGTCAAGATACATCCAATTAGGGTTGTTATAATTTATTTTAGCCGGTATACTCCAAATAGCGCCCTTGTGATTGGCGCCCATGGCACGGCACGTGTCTACCTTACCGTGGATACATCTCAGCGCGTATGCGTAGGACTCCGTGGCCGGAGTCAGCATCTACTTGGCTGATCGGGAGACCATGCTGCGACCTTCCTTCCAGCATTTCGCCCTGAGGAAGGCCGCAGCATCTGTGTCTAGGACGCGGCGTGTGGGAATGTGTAAATGTTCTGCGCGCGCATGGCATGCATGCTAAGGGCGCGTGGCGTTTTGCGGTGCGCAGAGCCGGGCATGGCGCGCAACGTGATCCTGTTCGTGGGCGACGGCATGGGCGTGGCCACGACCACGGCCGCGGGCATCCTGGTGGGCGGCGAGGGCCACCTGCTGTCCTGGGAGCGCTTCCCGCACATCGGCCTCTCCAAGACCTACTCCGTGGACCACCAGGTGCCCGACTCCGCCGCCACCGCCACCGCCATGCTCACCGGCGTCAAGACGCACTCCAGGGTGAGGACCGTGCGCAGCTCGTTTTCTTTATTTATTTTTAGTTTCATATTTTCAGTTTTAGTCGTTTGAAATGTTGCCGACGGAAAACGAAACTAACGAACTAACATTAGCTTCAATCGTTTCGTTTCGATTCAACTCTTCAAACTAGCAAACGTCGTTTACACAAAAAGCTGGCAAAACGTTCTATAATGTGCTGCATGGAGTAAAGATAGGACAAACTGTATGAAGTAGTGCAATTTCCGTCCAACTGCTATCCCTGAACGAATGAATTTAAATTTAAGTCATATTAAATTACATTAAGATGTTGTATTGCAATAAGGAAGATGTGATTTCTTTCTCGGTTTCCTCAGTCTTTTGTTAATGAAATCGTGACTTTTTTTAAAGAGCCAATATAACTTCTTATTTTTAATATGGGGCCGAAAGAAGGTCCTAAGCTTTAGATTAGTCGGTTAGCATTTTATTAAAATGTTACATCGACCTACCGGAACCAGACAGAAAGCTACACTCAAAGGAACGGATCGGTTAAGAATTGTAACTATTCACCGATCGTTAAAAAAAAGCCAAAACCAACTGCTTGTATCCAAACGTGGCACTCCATTCCAGAAAAGGAATTTGACATTGGTGCAATACTCTCCTATAAGGTGGTACGGAAAGTCTCGAAAGGTCCATGTCAAAGGTGCACTAATAACGGCCGCGGTTGGTTATGTCGTCCGCAGATGCTGGGGCTGGACGCGCGCGCCAACACGACGACGTGCGACCGCGAGGTGAACCGCGAGGCGAAGCTGGCGTCGCTGGCGCTGTGGGCGCAGCAGGCGGGCAAGGCGACGGGCGTGGTGACAACTGCGCGCATCACCCACGCCACCCCCGCCGCCGCCTACGCCAGCGTCAACCACCGCGACTGGGAGTGCGACTCGGAGGTGAGCGTCTTTCTACCGCCTACGCAGTAGAGGGAAAGAAAACTTTTATTACAGGGCCCTGGTAACGAAAATGCTGATAAATCCTTATGCTAAATTTAGAAAAAAAAAGCCTCTAACATGTAGTGTAGTCAGAATAAATGTTTTGTGGGTCCATGATACTGAAAAATCGAATGACGGCAAAACGTCTTTCAGTCTGTCAGTCCGTCTGCCTGTCCTCCTGTGAATAATGCTAGGGGCTAAACCGTTCAGCCGATTTTCTCTTAAATTGATATTCCCCAATCGATCTGGTTGATGTCGCGGCCCCTTGTATTTGAAACCGATATTTTATGTTTAGGGGATAAGTACTTTACTTAAAGTCCCGGGGTCATTTGCCAAATTTTCAAAAAAAAATGTTTCCATCGTTTTTCATTAAATTTTTTGTTGTATAGTGTGGAGGATCTTTAAGTCAATGACGCAGGTCTTTTTTTCGAAAATTGCAAAAAGGGAAATTTGTTTTCGGTGTCTTTCTACCACCACAATAATGAAAATAGAGATTTCAACTTTAATTAAAGTCGTGTTTCGATAATTTGCGTACTTTTTGCAAGCAAGTACAGAGAAGACAGTACATGCCGTTTTAGCAACATTAGTTGTTTTTGAAAATAGTCCTTATTTTATTTCAAACTAGTCTTGTGAAAGCCATACAGAGGAATATAAGTCTCCGAAATGTATTATCCATCCGATTAAACTTGGAGCAAATTGGCATCCAGCATGTATTTCACTCTTCATATGACGTAGAACAGTTCTAAATATAGTTTCGAGGCTCTCAAATCAAAATTATCTGGAATTTAGGAACTTGAAACGTTGACATGGTCAAAGGCAAAGCCAATAGAGAGTTGATTTGACATTTTTATTCGGCTTTCACTGCATCAGCGTTACCACGCATGTATCAATCCGCAAGACAGTCGCTCCTTAAGAGCTCATATATCTTCCAAATTCAGCGCGGGATTAATTGCCTGACAGCACTGTATCTCCCCGCTGTGGAGTATAAAAAAAAAGTGCGCGTGTAGAATGTTGTAGTCTGGTTGTTAAACAAGAGAGTACTAGGCAATGTTGAAGTACACGTAAGCTTCCGCGGCTCGAGTTCATGACTTGGCTGTCCGGGTGAGAGACCGACGTTTCGCCCTTCATCCAACAACGCGGCGTCACCCGGACAGCCGGGAAGGCAATGTGGATGAGCGTGCGTGATCTGGGCTGTCCGGGTAACGCCGCGTCGAAACCTGTGTTGCCGACGTTTCGACCGTCTTGTCGTGGTCTTCCTCAGGGCTGGTATGCGCCCCCTGGTGTGTGCCCTGAGGAAGACCACGACAGGATGGTCGAAACGTCGGCAACGCAGCCTTCGACGCGGCGTCACTCGGACAGCCCAGATCACGCACCTGACTCTGGCCGCGGAAGCCTACGACTACAATGTGGACGAGTCCCAGCATGCGTGCACCCGCGCCCCAGACGCGTAACGAGAGCGTGTGTGTTCGTGCGTGCGCAGATGCCGGAGGAGTCGCGCGGGTGCGTGCTGGACATCGCGCGGCAGCTGGCGGAGGCGGCGCCGGGAAAGGACCTGCACGTGGTGCTGGGCGGCGGGCGCCGGCAGCTGGGCGCGTCGGGCAAGGAGGACCCCGACGAGGACGACTCGTGCGTGCGCGCCGACGCGCGCAACCTCACGCGCGACTGGGCGGCGCTGCCAGGTGCGTCGGGGCGCCTGCCTATGACCGGCGGACCGTAGGGTTACCCTCCTGACGGCACTAGCCAGATGGATAGGTCCAATTCAGTCGCCGTCTGAGGACAATTCTGCGATGGTTATTGTTATTATTGCAATTCACTTTGTGGGAAGATATTCAGGTGCATAAATACCTGAGACAATTTCTAGAAACAGGATGGTCGAGCAGAGTATCATAGATTTTTCGTGCACGTGCGTCGTTAACTTCAACTCGAGACGCTCCGCTGACCAAAACACACTTGGGCAAACCGTGGGTCGCGCACCACACGCTCTTTTGGTAAACCCTTCAGAGAATGGGACCGTCTGCGGACGGAGTGGTTACACTGTTGGCTACGGGTTGCCCAGGGTTAGTTTCGATGGTGGAGAGTTTCTGACACTGGTTAGAGGTGGGGCGTGTTAAAACACTGCCTGCAGGAGAATTCTAGCGGTTGGCTATTCTGATTGGAAGTTTTCCTTGGTATTTCCGATCAATATCATGCGAATACCACAGCAGTACTCCAACAACCGGATCTCGGTCCGAGCGCGATTTGTCCATCCTCTTCCTTGTCCTCACCACCCCTTACCTACACCCCAACAGTAACGCACTACTCAATGCTACTCATGCGCAGAGGCCGGTCCAGAGCTTAGGGCCTGTCCCGGCTTGGGCGGTGCCTCGCTGGTGGATATCACTGCAGGAGGAAACATTCGCAAGTGAGGAGCGCATGTCACCTTCCGAGAAATAACATGCACCACACATACGGAACTACAATCCTCGGACGTTGACGCTCCGAGAATATATACTCGCTCACTTACTCGGAGTGCTGGGAAGGGTAAACCAGACAGTCTATCACTTTTTTTTCGCTCAGACGTCAATTACCTGGGACAAATTAATTAAGTTGTTTCCCCTAAAATTAACGTTCATTCTCTAATAAATTTATAAAGCAAGAATTCAAAAAAATGATGTATGAAGTTTGTATAGATGTTGCTTTGTTGCATTCGTACTAATTGGAAAACTGATTTTGATGTCGCTCGTTTCCAAACCGCGTACCTCTGCAATAACGCTCACGTGGCGTGCCCAGGGCGACGCGAGTACGTGTCGACGCGCGCGCAGCTGATGGACCCCGAACTGCTGCACCGCGCAGACTACATCCTGGGGCTGTTCGCCGGCGGCAACATGGCGTACGAGGCCGAGCGGCGGGCGGCGCCGGGCGACCAGCCCTCGCTCAGCGAGATGACGCGCGTGGCCCTGCGCGCGCTGCGGCGCCACGGCCGCGACAAGGGCTTCTTCCTGCTGGTGGAGGGCGCGCGCATCGACATGGCGCACCACAAGAACTACGCGCGCCTCGCGCTGCTCGAGGCCCAGCAGCTGGACGAGGCCGTGCACGTCGCCCTGGACGAGGTGGGATTGCTCGCGCTCTCTCTGCTGAATGCTGCTCAGCTTATCGCAGCTCCTCTTAGCTCCTCTTAGCTCCTCTTAGCTCCTCTTAGCTCCTCTTAGCTCCTCTTAGCTCCTCTTAGCTCCTCTCAGCTCCTCTCAGCTCCTCTCAGCTCCTCTCAGCTCCTCTCAGCTCCTCTCAGCTCCTCTCAATCCCTCGCAGTTCCACTCAGCTCGCTTAGTTTCTACTGCTTCACGCCACCCAAACTGCTCACATCACTTTTCCTTTCTGTTTCTCGCCACTCGTTTCCCTTACCGTTTCCCTTGCCAAACGCTTTAATTTGTTTATGTGGAGTACCATTGTACGATGCACTTAATATTAATGTGCCAGCAAGAAATGCAGATTGTTAATCGCCATACCTGCATTCCTCACTCCTTTGGCATAGTCCGCAGGGCAAGTAATCTTATCTGACAGTTTTAAAGAGTGCATACGTTCGTAAATTTCCTGAACAATGGATTGTTTGAGTTTGCCGAGGCGTGTTCGAATGCGCATGAAATTTATCACGGAGGTGTGCGCTTCCCTTTGCTATCAAAGCGCAATGCATAGCATAAGCGTTGTGCGCACGCTGTCGTTCCTCGAAACTGAAGGAAACAAATAGCAGGAGCTAAGGAGTTGCTATATGGAAATACTGATTCTAGGAACAAAGTCGGCGTCTATCCATTCCCATTCTACCTTCACTCTGCAACGAAATGAATATTCACAAATGTCCATCTGTGACATTGTATCACTGTAGTTTAGAAATTTATATCGCTATTTTCCGAGCGCTTGTTTTCTCTACGATTTTAAAATTGATTTAAACAAAATACAGTGACCGTTGTAGATTCAGACCATGTAGTTGAATTTGGAAGTTGAGATTTTGGACAGAGTAATACAGGTAATATTTGGTCAGATAATACAGTAGATATCGCCTCTATAGACATACGTGCTTTTACGTCCAAAATATTAGACCTCATGATTTACGAAACTTCTGTAACAATTTTTTTTAAACGATATAACATTTAGGATTTAGCGACTTTATTTCTCGGAGCCTACTAACTCAAAAAATCGTATAGTGACTGTCACCTCTCGGCTATCTGACTCTTCTCCATTCAGTATTAAGTGCGGTGCACGACTGTTTTATCGAATTCATTTCAGCGAGCGGAAAAAAATTCAAAATTTTGGCGGCGGTCGCCAAATCATTTTGCTCGCCCGGATCGGGAGAGGGAAGGCGAGGTGCGAGGACCGCGCAAACGCTCGCTCAGCCTGGGACGAGCGGGGACGGTTTTCGTCGGGCGAGAATGTGACGTAACGTACACTTTTGAAGAAACTGGGCGAAACTCATTTGAATGTGTCCTATGCGAGTAGCAGTGCTGGACGCAATATACAAAATTTCAATACCACAATTCTGAAGTATATTAAAAGTTTAGGGCAGTGATGTAATAAAAGAGATGAGGGAAAAATATATTAAAAGAATAGAGTAGGATCTGAAGCTCAAGAACACGTGTGCAGATTGTAATTCTTCTCGTATGTTAGTATGGTTTCAACTGTTTTTATATATAAGTAAATGCGCGTATCTGGGTAGCGCAATTTCTTAATTTTTACACTAATATCTCAACAAAAAATTACATTAACTTTTTGAAATAATTGCTGCTCTTCAATTTTCAACGACACGCTTGAATAAAAAATCCCTTTTAGCAACACATTCATTTCAACTACCCTGATAAGCACGGCGCAAACGGCTCACATCCACCTGTTTCTACCCGTCCCCCACAGGTGGACATTGAAGACACGTTGATTGTGGTGACGGGCGACCACTCGCACGCCATGACCATCAACGGCTACCCGGAGCGCGGCAGCGACATCCTGGGCATCTCGTACGCCGAGAACAAGCGCTACGACGAGAACGCCGTCAAGTACGAGACGCTGACGTACGCGACGGGGCCCGGCGCCAAGGACCACCAGGGCGTCCGCGTGGAGGACATCCCGGAGGAGAAGCGCAAGGAGCTCAGGTACAAATTGCACACCTCAAACACACCTCGACCACTCAATATTTCTACTCAAATTAACTGATAAAATATGAACAGAACCATTCGCCAAAACATACACTTACAAAAAGGCAAATGGATCGTAAAAATAAACATAAAAATAAATTTGTCCCCCTTATATAGTACCCCAAAAGATTGGGCAATCCGTTCAATTTTATTAGAATATAGACTATTATGAATATGGTTACAAGCCAAATTTACAATTTATATATCGAATTTCGCGAGTTACTTGTGCTAAACCTAAAACATCGGTCACAATTCAATTACGTTTACATTCCGAGTGATGGAAAACAAGTTTATACTGGGATTGCGAATTACGACATTTTTAACGTAGGAGAACCGAGAATCCGTGAGAATGCAAAATATAAATAATGTTTGGTTCTACTTGTATACAGTAACAAATTAAAGATGAATTAACAAACAAATCCAAAACTGTTTGAGACGTCGAACGGGCACAGGACACGGGCCATCAGGGATTTGAAATTTTCACCTCGGCTCGCGCACAAATGAAGTCCGTTTCATTTCCCGAGGATGGAAAAAAGAGACGATCGATCCCGGCTGGGACGTTGCTTCGCTGGTGGGAGATACCTGGTCCGGGAAAACCCACAGGCCGACGGGTAGGTTGGCGCGGGATCTCGCCAACTAGCGGGCAAGATCACTACCACCTCCCGCGATAATAGCAAACACTACACTTACGGGATAATTATCTTAGCTGTTCACGTGCCCGGAGTCACCTATTAATCAACTGAATCATTAAACGAGGCATTAGTGCAAGTTTGTCGAGCAGCCATAGAATTTATTTTAAGTTGGTTCTTGCACTGTATACACGTGAAGTCCGAGACGCGGTGGATAGAGCGAACCCCGAATGTTTATCACGGGAGAAATGGCGAGCAACCCATCCACAGTATTTGGGATTCGGCGAGCGGTTGCGTAGGCAGCTCCACACATTCGGCATTCGCCGAGTAACGAGCTACTGTGCACCCAATCCCGAACAGCTGATGTGTTCGGCGAATGTTCGCTCCTTTTCATGTGTCCTAAAGACCGACACGCGGTGGGTAAGTCGAGTATCGAATGTTCGGCGCTTGCCGAATCGCAAGCCACCCATTCCCACTACTCGGGATTCGGCGAGCGGTTGGTGGCCAAACACCGAATGTGTGGAGCCGCCGTTTGAGCCATCGTTGCTCCGATCCCCAGGTACCGCCACCGAGGCCGGCTGTTACCACGCGAGGACGAACCGCACGCGGGCGGGACGTGCCCGATGTACGCGGCGGCCCGGCAGCGACCTGCTCGTGGGCGTGTACGAGCAGAGCTTCATCGGCACGGCCATGCGTACGCCGCGCGCGGGCCCTTCAAGGGCCAGGGCCGCGCGCCGAGCAGAGCACCAGCGCCGCCTCCGCGCCGGCCCGCGCCGCGTGGCCGCCACGCTGCTCGTGGCGGGCGCCGCGCGCCTCTTCAATTGATGCCGCCGCCGCCGCCCGCGACTTCTTCCACTGCTCGCCGCCCCGAGCGCCACCGCGCCCACCACTACGCCTCGCCGCTCGCGCTCGCGCTCGCCTCGCTGTCGACGTGCTCCCTGGCTCCCCACGAGCCGCCTTCTGGACTATTTTGTGGCCCTCGTCTTCTTTTCGGAAGCTCCCACGGGCTGGGCCCGCACGGGTTGCTCCTCCGTTCTCGTCTCGCATCTTGACACGACGTACCTCGCAGGTCTACTTCTTCGTGTAATGACTTCCTAATTTGAACTGTCATACCAGAGAAAAAATTTCTCGAATAAGATATCTGATCAGGAAAGAACTATGTTGATTTTTCAGCTCTTCGTTTGAACTCTTCGTTTTCCTTGCAGTTTTGTGTTTCTCGCGTTTTTATCAAAAGTACCAAAAAATAACAAATTGAACTCTTTCGACTGTAATATTTCATGTAGGAATAGGCAAGACTTCTTAGGTAGTTATTAAACTATCATCAAGCAAGTAGTAGAGTTTTTCTTCTTCGAACATGTAATATTGTTTGGAATTAAGAATTCTTAAATTATCGATTTCAAAATAATAAATTAAACATGCAGATGATATTGCTGTCCTTCAATGAAATATGGTTATTGTTCCTATTGTTAAAAAAACAATATGATAAAACAAAAAAGAATATTGATCTTGAATGTGTCCGTAATTTATTTATTTTACAACACATTTTGCATATTCAGTGGTCCATAACAATTATTTTGATTATTATCCACTCCCATGATGTTTTAGGAATAATGTTCTGTTCCTAATTCTCCAAACTATGCCCTATAATCCCTTTTAATGAGAAATACTACCGTTTTTTGTAAGAATGAAATAAATGCATGATCGTCGATATACCATCCAATTCCAAATATAGTTAATTATTTTAAATAATTACTTTCAAACACTGTTCATTAGAAACTAGAGACATCTACGGGACCATTTTCTCTAAATGGTAGCTACTCATAAATCTGACTTTTTGTTTATGTCGTAGCCAATATGTTTTCTGAGAGTGTGTTATACAATTTAATAATGTTGTTTCAAGTTATGAATAAACCGTATGCAGGTTGTGTAAAATAAGCACTGACAATTAAAAAATAATTTTCAATGGTATTTATAAATAATTGCATTGTTTTTGTTTGTCTTAGAGCATTTTTTTTTCGCACATAAAGTCCAACGTGTTCATGCACTCTTCCCTTACATCGTTACATTAATTTCGTTGATACAGCTGGAACGAAACAATTCATCCTAAAACAATGTTTTAATTTTGTTGAAAGATATGGCATAAATAAACATTAAAACCCACTGATGTATTTATTATTATTCTATTATTTCCTAAATTCACGACGCACGATGTCGAGCGTCGGGTAAATATAGAATATACTCCAGTTTGCAACCAGCAACCAAAGCAACTAAAATAGCACTGTGATGGCCACCTCGAGCAGTTTCTGGCATTTGAACTCTACTTATTGAAAAAACGTTAGTTCCACCTGCGCTGCGGCGAGAGCTTTGGGGGAATGCTCAAGGTGATGTGTGAATGACAATCGAGCCAAACTGACGATACTTATGGGTCGCACCCTTCACCCGAGGAAACTACCTTCGGAACGGCTTTGCCCTCACTTTGCAAGACATGGCATGTAATGAGGCGCTTACGAGAAATGGAATATTATTTCGTGAAATATAAAGAGGACCTCTCTTGAATTATGCTTCAATGTGTAATTATTTTCTACACATTTCTGTGCATTTTTACTTATTTTGTAGCAATATAAAGTTTTTATAAAGAAAAACCGTTTTCCGACGAACAATTATATTTAAGTACATAAATGACGAAGTACTTCCTAAGACGAGAAAGTAAAATGTCACAATTTCATTTGCTAATAAGATTCTTTCTGAGCTTGTTTTGGAATGCAGCAAAAGCATAATGATTTGAGGGTTTACTTACTAATTTTGTTTATCCATAGGGAAATTAGCATAAACGCGTGGAGGCAAAAATGGATTGCCGTTTTGCCTTGATTTAGTTTCGTTTAAGTTTCTTGCTAAGTTTATAAGCTCCAAATAACAAATACCTTTTCTGGTGAAGACAGTGTTTCAACTAAGGAACTAAGATCTCTTTTAGCCAGTAATAAATATATAACATTTTAATGACATTTGTAGGCTTGATATTCACGACGGCTTATTAGGGATCAAATTTATTTTAAGTTCTAGTTGACTTTCTGTGAGTAAAGGTTCGTTTGAGGGATGATTGAAGACAGAGTTTTATGCATGATTCTCTGGTACATAATGAATTTTTGAACAAAGTGTAGTGTATAAAATGTATATTATAATGCATAAAAATTGATGCCAGATTTTTGATAATTTATTAAATAAGATCCAGAGATGAATAGTATGTCAATCAAATACAATCGATTTCGGGCATTCGAGTCACATTTGAACTAGTAAGTGTTGGCTCAATTACATGGCTGCCCCGAATATTTAACATTTCGTAACGAGAGCCTAAATAGAACCTAATATAGTTTGTATCCACCGCAGCGCAGCCAAGGTGGCGGGTTATGGGTCTTCAGCTCTCCCCCTCCCCCCACATACACAGAAACCGAATACATGTAAACACGAATAAAGGTTTTATTAATTTTCTGTAGTAACGAATTTCAATCAATATCTCAATTAAATACGTTATGAATACCAGTAAATCAAAAAATAAAAATAAATATAATATGTTTTACAGAATTAATGAAAAGGTCTTTATAAGAAAACCTCAAGTCGACTGGACACTACACCTACAGCCCCTCACCAATACACGCACAAAAAATCCTGGATGCATCACTATGAAACGCGAAGACACGGAAATGGCTAAATGCAGTTATATTACTAGAATTAACTAATGTAGCTCTATATTATTTACAAGATATCAACATGTTTGACAAATGACACTATTTAAGAGCACTTCATTTAATAGTAGTACACAGATGATAATGGCATCTAAAAACATTTAAAGTCCCCAAGTAACGAGAATTAGGCGTATTAGGAATTAAATCTGTTCTCGCCCCTCCTCTCACAGAGCTATCATCTATGTTTATGAGAACGGAGGATTCAGATAAGTAAGCTCGGATACGTCTTCGAGGGTAACACGACACGCGTGACGGCATTAAGCGAAGAATTGAACCAGATCACGTGGCGAACACACAGCCTCGAAATGCATCAGCCAACCAGACGGTTGGGATTTCTCTTCCGCGTGGCGAGGACCACGTTTGCCCGAGCTGCTCCTCCGTCGCCCGGACCACACCTGGGCGGTGGGCGTGGCGCCCCCGTGCACGGGATGCCCCAAGTGGCAGATAAGCGCCAGTTCACGAGTCCGCCGCGGCGCCAGCACGTGACTCTCGCCTTGAAGATCTCGGCGAGCAGAAGAGCATTTACTCGACCCAGTTCTCCCATTTGATCGCACGTGACAGGAAGTAGTTCTCCAAAGTAAATAGTCATTTGAACTTTGTCGTTGGCAGTGAATTATGTTCCGTGGAGATACGTTGTCATATTATGTTCCAGTGGCAAATAAAACAAAAATAAGTCAATATATTATTCAGAGAAAAAAAGCGGAAACCTTCAATACTTTGCGCATAACTAAATGAGTTCTTACGTACAACTGGCCTGCCGTGATTGACTACACTTAACACGTAGCATGATAACACGAAGTTGCAGTGGTCACCTGATATAACTGTGAATTGATTTTTAAGAAATCGCTCCACTACAGGTATGTTATATAGGCAAAAAGAAAACTATGTATGCTTAATATATGGCAATTATTCAGAGATTTGAGTCACATTCGCCTGGTAAAGTTTTCTGTGAGAAATATAGAGAATGTAATCTTAATTTATAAGCAAGGAAGGTCATGGAATTTATTAGTTACGTATCTCATTTTACAAATTCGATAAATAGATGAACAATGAACCAGTTGTGTTAGCTGAGAACCATCAATTCGTTGCCATCTCTGTTGTGATTTTCACCGAGATGTCCTTGGTTCAAATCTCGACGGTGGCGGATTTTCGATAGTAGCTTCATAGTTGAAGCGAATTTCGCCGCTGTTTAGAGACACAGTAGCGACCGGCTTGTATGATCCTAGTTGTACGTGGTCTCTCTGATCAGTACCAGACGAATGCCGGAGCAGTACCGTAACAAACGGGCCACGTACATCGCGCGTATCCTATCTCTTCCTTGTCCTATCCTCTCCCCTTACACACACTCACACTTACATGCCCTACATTACCACACGTCACTGAAGACCAGTAGGGAGCTTAGAGCTCGTCCCTGCTGGGGCGGTACCCCTACTGGGGCAGGCGCGGATCCACGGGGAGGGAAATTTCCCCCCTTCAATTTTTCTGTATGTATTAATTGTAACTTGTCGCTAAACTTTCAAGCAAAATTATTTTCGGATAATCATTAAAAATAATAAAATCATATTTCAGCATGATCTGAGTGTAGCCTGTGACATTTTACAAATTCTGTAATGACCCATTCGACCACAACATTTTTAATTTCCCCTCCCAAAACTTGTTTCTGGATCCGCCCCTGGGTGGTGAGAAATACCTGGGGCGGGAAATCCCGCGCAAGGCGACGTATAGGACTGCATCGTATCTCACCATCCAGCTTCAGAGGAACACTGTCACCCTCAAGACGTAACATTTACCACACTAACGCGAAGGATAACTGCCCGCCAGTTGACGTGTCCGCAAAACAATCAATGAACAATGATTTTATTCTCATTACAAAGTTATGTATTTAGTGTGTGCCAAATTATTAAGTCATCAATGTGGATAAGTAATCTAAATTCACGTATAGTTTACTTTAAGTTCTAAGAATTATTTTATAATTTACTTTAAGTTAAAATAATGATGTTTGCTCTATGAAAATAATGAAAGTGATATATAAAGGAAATATTTACTTTGTTAAAGGTCAGTACTGATTGTAAAAGTGAAGGTTCG